TTAGAATAAATATCAAAACTAAAAGTGCTTTGTAATCCAAAATTTGGTTTATCTTTATCTTTTGTTAAAATCTCGTAGTCTAAATTATTAATTAAAAAATTAGCCACAAAAATTTTTACCATAGATAAACCAATTGATTTTCCTGGACAGCTACGCCCACCGATGCCAAAAAGTACAAAACATAAATCATCATTCTTATTTAAAAATCTAGAAGGATCAAATTTTAACAAAGAATCTTTTTCATGATGAATCGCATAAATATTTGACATTATATAAGTTCCTTTTTTTAATTTATAAACTTTTTCACCAATAACCATTTCAAAATCTTTAATTATATAATTATTTAAAAATGAAAACGATGACTCATACCGTATCACCTCTGATATAAACGTGTTAAAATTCAGAAGACTTGCTAACTCTGTATAATTAAAACCATCTTCATTTAAATTTTAACTTCGTCATAAAGTATATTACACCATTTTCTATTCTTCTCTTCATATAAATGCCAAATAATTGACATAATCGTTAATTTAACTATATTTATTCCTGACGATGTTATTATAATAAGATCATCATATAATTTTTCTAATAATATACCCAATTGAAGATTTTTATCAACCATATCTTTAATTAAATTTTTTCCACAAAAATTATCAATCAAATCTCATGTCATTTCTTTAAAACTCTTACGTATTTGTGTAATATTGTTTAAAATTCGTCGTGATTCTTTTGTTATTGGTATATATAATAAATTACTATTTTTATATATGAAAATATCATAAAATGCCTAATTTAAAGCCTATATAATTGATAAGCTTTTTGATTTATAATCTTTATCTAAAAAATCAATATAATATTTTGATGTAGTACTGTAACTCCACATAAATTCACTAGTAACATTCTCAACATATTCATTTAATAATTCCAGTATATTTAAATTTGATTTTAATTTATTTTTTTAATTAAACTAGTAACTTCTTGATAAGAAACTTGATATAATCTTTCAATATTATTAATCGAGGATATTAATATTTTTTTATGTAATTTTAAATATAGATTAGAAGATTTTGTTAAAGAAATAGAATTAGATCCAAATAAAATGAGCGATGTAAAACTTTTTCTTTCTATATTAATTCTATGTTGTCTATTTATTATTTCGCAAAATTTTTTATTCATCCCATAAAGTTGAATTGATGATTCTGATAAAACCACAATAAAATCATGATCTTTACATATATGATTTTTAATATCATCAAAAACCAAAACTTCAATTCCTTGTTTTTTATAAAAAAAATATAATGAAAAAATATTATAAAAATTATATAGGAATGTTATAATAACTGAAATTTTTAAAATTTGAAACATTTTTATCCAATTAAGAAATTTTTAAAAAATTCCTTATTTATATTATGATAATTATTAATTTTTATTAATTTGATATTAAATTAACTTGTATAATTTTTATATTATTAATAAAATTTATAAAATTAGAAATTTATAAGTATTTGTTGTTTTATATTTAAACAATATTTAATACATTGTATTAAACATTGTTTAAAAAATGGATGAGAATGAATTAGAAAGATTTAAAGATTTACTTGAAGAACTAGAAAAAATTATATTTCCAGATGTTCAATATTATGTCAAATAATTGAAACCATGTTAAGAAGTCCTGATTCTTGTAATGATTTAACAGAAGATAGATATTATTGTTATTTATTACAAACAAAAAAAAATATTTGAAAAAAAAAGTAGTATGTTGACTAAAAAGGACAGAGAAGAAATTGATAAGTTGCGAAAAAGCTAGACAAGAAATCAAAAAGAATCTAAAACAAATACAAGATTTAATTTTGAATAAAAAATTTGTACCGTTTCCTTCAAGACCTCGTAAAAAAATTACTACAATTAAAGAAGAATATCCATTACGAGATGGTTATAAAAACATTCGTCAATTGAATGTTATTAACCATGCTATTATACTATATAATGATCTTGTAAATTTATGGAAATCAATTGGTTATAATGTAGTTGAAGATGTGAATGATTTTTTGTTTCAAGCAGTGATGATAATGTTATTTCCACCACAAGAAACAATACCCGAGCCAACGATTCAACAAATAACAAAAAATTTAAAATTATACATAAATCTTGGATTCCAATTAGATGAAAAAGCAATTATTGAAATTTTAAAATTGTTTCATTCAAGATTAGACAAGGTTGAGAAAAAAATAGTAGAATCTATATGTGACATTAAGCAAGAAAACAAGGTTAAATTTTTAAGAGATTGTTATGTAAAAACATTCGATTCCGATGCATATTTTTCAAATAATGAGATTGAAAATATTCAAGAATTTATTAGAAATTTATTACCAGAAAGTCATCCTGAAGAATTTAGTCGAGCATATGTGATAGCGGTAATAAAATATAATTTAAGATTTCCATAAATATGTTGTAAAATTAATTTATATGTTTGTTTATAAGATTTATTTATTAAGAAATATATAAGTTTATAAAATATATGTATTCAATATGGTATAAGATTTTATTAATAAATTTTATGTTTATAAAAATATAAATATTCCAATAATTTTATTAAAAAATTTAAAAAATGGATAATAAAATAAAAAAAAATAAAGTGTTAATTTCTCTAATATATCGTAATTTGTTTAAATATTACTTTTTTATATACCGTATAATGAAAAAACCAAAATGATAACAATTAACTGTAGTGAAAATACCAAAAAACAAATTTTAACCCAAAACGAAAAAAATCTTCTGAATGAGATTTTAAAAGAAACAGTTAGCAACTTTAAAAAAGAATTTGAAAAAGAAAGAAGTGAAGAACTTATCAAAGAAATGGAACATCTTTTAAATGAAATTAGAAATAGTATTTTTAACACAGAATACAAAAATGATTTCTATAAAAAATTAGATGAAATATTTAATGCCAATGTAATCAATTAATCTATCATGAATTATTTAACAAATTATCAATTCTAGTTTTTAACATATTATCATATGTTTTGGCTTTATCAAAAATGATTTTAATTGCATTTTTTTTGAAATTTGATAATTTTTCATATAGTTTGTTTTGTACAGTATTGTTTTTATTTTTATTATTGGGATTTTTAAACTTACCATTATTCTATATGGAACAGATATTCTTGTTACTAGTAAAAATATTTAATGGTTTATCAAAAATACTAAAATTTTCAATAGCTGTGATTAAAGTATAAATCTGTGATTCTTGAATAGAATAATCTTCATTCACAACTTTGTAAATACTTTTATCTGGATATGAAGGACAATAAATTCCCATTCCAAATATCTTATCTTTTTTTCGAATTTTTGTAAATACGCAAATACCATCATTATTTGTCGAATCATCTAAATAAAGAAATGAAGCATCACATTTTATGTGCCGGTTCCCATATGTAAGAGTTAATACTTATTATTAACAATAATAAATATTAAATAATAAAATCACTCTTACCATAAATCATGAAATTCTTTCATGAAAAACATTTTTTTCCTTCCTTCAGTTTAACATTAGTAGCACCAATAAGAATTTCTGTTAAGGTAACACCATTCTCATTTATTACAATCTCATTCGTGAGATACTATTTATGTTTTTTGATCAAATTTCGATCATTTTTATCAACGGTAATATAATAATTTGTCAGTTTATCATGTTTATCAAATAATGCAATTTGATATAGGTTGCTAACATAACCAAAAAGTGTAGTTGTTATGGGTCTTCCAGGATTTGTGTTAGAATCATTATGCCAGATTCCGTTCATCTTATCCTAATATTTTTAAATGAAATTAAACTTGTTATAAATATATTTTGAATTATTAATTGATAACAAATATCTAAATACATTCGTTAAACTAAACCAACAAATCCAAAAATTGGAAAAAACGTCAATACAAAGCATGGGAGCGATAGCGACCAAATGCTGCATATACGATGGCGTTTGCCAATTTTTAACGCAGACCACTCTGCTAAAGAAATAGGCAGACCACAAAAGTGTTCGGTTTTCCATTTTAAACAACGTTTAATACAACGTATTAAA